TAATGCCTAACATTAACATTGAACATTTGTATCGTCGGTACAGTTCATGGTTACGCCGATTTAAATAATATTGGCAAAAACAATCACCATCATCATCATAAAATCGTCAGTCCTAAGACTGGTTGGACTCGAACCTCCGATCTTTCCTATTTTGAGCTAATCTTCACATTTCCCTAAGACTAGAACATCCCACATTCTTAACTATTTGTGAGCAGTAATCTAATCTAGATCTATCTCTACTGCTGTTCCTGTTTCTGCATCTGTCTCTGACTAGTTCTTTATGCCTGAGAAGGTGTCCTACTAACCTATCTCGCCTATTTTTTAGTGACTTCCATGTTTTTTGTAACACCTCTTCATTTCTAACCTCTATCCACGGTATTCTCATCATTCGCATGTAACAACACATTTCAGAACGCTTCTAACGTTTTCTTTTCCACCAATAATTATTTGAAAATATCATTTCATTAATCCTGTTCGAAGGTAACTGTAATAATAGTTTCCTACTACAAACGCGATCAAATTAAAAGTCAATTAACTAGAACCGATAACCGAACTAAATCTCCTTGGAAGTGAAGATATGAATATATATCAGGCATGAATAATATTTTTAAAAATGACTCAGCTTTTATAGTACGCTAGCTGAGCCACTGACAGTAAGTTGAAGTCAAAACACAATGAAACGTTGGGAAGTTAAATTTAGTGATTATGTGTGGGTTTAGATCGCACTTATTCCTTCCTCATTCGTCGATTTCATTAGCCAAGGCTCCTGTTATTCGAGAAGTCGAAAGCACTAACGAATTATATTTTAATTAATAGCTGGTGCTACAACCGTCAGCCATTGGCGGAGTTGATTGCACTCTTGCGAAGACATTTAATCCAACTTAACTTCTGCCGAATTACAAGAAGGGTTAAATTCGAGCGAGAATTATTCTTTGAAATTAATCAAGGATTTTATATCAGATACTTAGTAAAGCCAGCAACGAACTAACTCTTGTATACATAGTGGAAATATACACTGCTGTCAAGAAGTATGGAAGCACATTTGTTGTTTGAAATAATATACTATAAATACCCATATTCAACATAGCAAAATAAAATGCTTATTGTACCACTAATAAATATTTTCATGTCCTGGTAATATCTAAAGTGAGGTAATACGCTACAATTTATTTGGTACCAATATAAATTAAGCCCTATCTGGAAATGCTACCTTCAAGTGATCTAATATTAAATCTTTTTGATCAATCAGTGCACTTGTGGTAGGTGTAGCAGTGATACACTATTAAAATAGCCATGAAAGCTTATCACACTTCACTCAAACAAAAAACAAAATGTGTGCTGGGACACGTAGTAGAAGTGAAACTTCAACGGACAAGTGGAAAAACAAAATTTCTACGTCAAGTTTTACGGACAGATTGTTAATATACTTATCCAATTTGAAAACCCGCCCGTAAAACTTCAAGTAAAAATTTTGTTGCGATTCGTTTTTCCACTTTTCCGTTGTCATTTGTTTTTCCACTTGTCGGTTGCATTTGTTTTTCCACTTGTCCGTTGAAGTTCCACTTACACTATGTGTCCCAGCATACATGTTTTCACAGGTTTACTGCAAATTATGATTTTAGACCGCAAATAAAGGCAATGATACCCAGCCACGTGGAGAGCAGAGGTATGAAAACAACAGCTGAGCACAGCGCACGCCGTCGGGACTCTAGCGGACTCTCCACTCTCCGCGCGGCTGCACATTATATCCATCTAATACAGCCGTTGCCCTCTCTCCGTTGCCGCCAACCTTTTTCTCCCTTCGCCGCTGCCGCCTTATTTAACGCTTTTTCGTGACAGAAAAAATCGTAATATTCCGCGTCTATAAAGATGTTTCACTTAAATAATGTTAAGACTGATGACTTAATCCACGTCAAACACTGATTACTTCGACTTTTGCTGGATAATAACCTGTCATTAGGTAACTGTCCATCAACTGGTTACCAAACTGTTATGCAGAAACATAATACAGACAACTAATACTACAACAAAGTCTTTTACACATTCGCTAGACATTTCAGCTACTACATCATATCATAGAACAGCATAAGCAGAAGTACAAATAATACGTACAAAAATGGTCAAATTTAAGTATGAAACAATCTCAACGTCCCATTTTCAGAGAAGTGACGTTGAAGACCGAAAATTACCTTAAAACACTGTAATTTATACTTAGACTTGCCTATGGAATACATCTGAAATCAGAAATACATCTGATGATAAACAAAAAAATTTAGCATTTCTTTAATGGAAGAATTAGAAAATAGTAGGTACCTGACCCTAAGTTTCACGACAATACTGTACATACATGCGTACATATGTATCTACATGTATATATGTTTAATTTGCTTTCAAATTTCACTCGACGAAAGGGAACGTGAAATGTGCCGGCAGCGTCAAAGATTAGATAAAACGACCCCATATACACCGAACTTAATTTTGCTGAATTACCAAGTTACCGATTAACCGAGCCATTAAGTTATCTCTGTTAATTATTTACGGGAGCCGCGCCCGCCTCTCTGTGGATATATGTTCTAAGTAAGTAACAATATGTGAGAGCAAAGTTGGAGGAAGTACGGGCACAAACGACTCAAAATTAGATTTGTTACGGGGGACAAAAGGTTTAAGTTACCCTTTAGTCTTCAACGAAGTTAAGTTTGTAAGTGAAACGGCGTGCCGAGTTAACAAACTCGCGGGTTCATTTATTACCCACCAACCAGCAGCGTTCAAAATTGGAAGAAGACCGTGAAGTAACACAAGCTCAGCAAACGGGGTGAGCACAATTCCAAAGAAATGTTGAGTTGATGTTTGGTTGTAACTTGTGCGCTGGCAATAGGTTAATCGAAAAAAGGTTGCTAAAAGATAACGAAAAGAAAACCTTTTCGCGTTTTAATGTCGAGACTCTGTGTGTTTCGACGTCTTATCTCCTTATAGAAAGTACTACTACAGGTCTTGATAAAGACTAAGATATCGAAATATAAATGTAGAGTCTCAATAAAGACTTTTGGAACATTAACAAGTAAGAGGGTTTACTTTTTAAATAGAGTAAGGTCGGTGAATGTGAAATACCATTTTTTTAAAAATTATAAACAAGTTTATTAAACATACTTCTGTAATTTTTTTATTCACGGTAATATCTGTAGTCAGCTAGCTATTTGTTTTTCCCGTCTAGGCGACGTAGCACATAATCTATACCTTTTAACAGACGAAATAATCAAAGTCAACAAATTCTCAGATTGTTAAAATGGGTAGGTAAAGTGGAATAGTCTTATAAGGTAATGTGGAATAGGATATTACCATGGAATTAACACGCCACCATTTTCAGTAAATAATTTCACCTACAACGAGAAAAATATTTTATTTGACTAACATTTTACATGATACAAAAAAAGAAGACTGAAAAAAAGGCAATCATAATATCTACTGGCAGAAATCACAAATATAAACTTCTCTTTCATTTCCTGCACACAGCCACTACACATTATGCATTGTATCCAAACCTCTCCTCTTGTATCTTCAGAAAATTTACCTGCACAAAAAATACATTCGACATCTTTATTGGGGAAAATGGAATTGATTATGTGGAATAGTCCACAATAGCAAACCTATTGATATTCCACAATAACCACTTATAGACTCGAAACTATGACCATATAGAAACTTGGATAAAGTTAATTTTATAGGGCTGTAATATCATACCTCACACTCTAAAACAATTATAGTAACTACACGAAGCACCAATATTTTTAAATCGGTCCAAACAAATGCGTAACAGTTAGCAGTATCACTACCCTACAAAATGTCAGCCACCTACGAAATCATTTCTGATTAAACACAACGTCACCTATAACAAACATAGGATTACATAACACATTACTTCGAAATACATTAAGAGTAGTACCTAATACAGCAACTAGAATGCAAATGACACTTCTAGTTTTAGTGCAAAAATGGTATTCCACATTACCTGACCTATTCCACATTCACCGACTTTACTCTATTAACAAATGTTTGATAATATTAGGCCCACTGTGCACTAGTGACTTTTGTCACGATGACTGTTTCGTTACTCTGGTCCACTGGTCAATTCTATTGTTCGTTATTGAGGTACGCGCACTAGATACTGTGACTGTTGAATGACTTTTTTCTTGGTGTCCGGCAACATGCTCACGTCGAAACTGTCACTCCGTCTGTACGTGTAAATTCTTGTGTGCACATTGGTGACAAAATGTCACTTCTCCTTTTGATCATCGAATGTACACTTGTCTATGGTACATTTGCTTAAAAATGGCATCGATGTCAAATTCCAAGTAAGACGTGATTACATGAAGATTTAGCAATCTATCTCTCCACAGTGGATGAACCCAATTGTACTTTTTGCTATTCCTTGTGACAAGTGCACAGACAACTGACACCTCGAGATCCATCTTGCCGAATGACGAAACTGCGTGACTGTAGCTCTATGTCGTGGCAACAAGAAACCATTCGTAATGTGACAGTGACAATAAATTTATTGTTACCATGACAAAAGTCGTTAGTGCGCGCTGGGCTTTACATTCGCTACTTCGTTTATAGTTATTCCTAAATGTGTATGAGTCTTGAAGGTGTACAGGTGGAGAATATAAGGTGAGAGCTACAGAAAAGAATGAGTTTGGGAAATGGTATTATGAGAGGATGAATATATCGTAAATAAAAAAAGTGTGGTAAAGGTCTAGATGATGTCCCCCACCCCGAAGGGGGAGGATCGAAGAGGAGATCTCCCCCACCACTGTACTATAAAAAGTTCGTGGCGGTCTCACTCCCATAAAAAGTTATGGGGGTTCAAAGTTAATAAATATGCCAATTTTTATACATTTCTAGGCATGTAAATATTTATATAGTTATTCTTAAACAATATTTAAAGGTAAAACTAATGAAAAATATATAAAAATATTGAGAATATTATATAAAACAGTGACCACCCTCTTTCGATCCCCCACNGCATAGTAAAGACGTTGGTTAGAGGTGGTTCATAGCTGATACTTCCATCGTTGGTGGTATGTTGCAGTTTCTCCAGATGGTTCGAAAGCTGAGGCAATCGCGTTTTCATAAATTCTCTAAAGACAACCATGTCGACCGAAAGTCCTCGTAGACTATCAGCAAAATAAGATTCAGGAAGAACACCTTCTATTAAAAATATCATTATTTTCAAGGCATCAGATTCACATCCTTCGGTCACTTGTAGAATAAGAGCAGCTAGCATGTTAAATCCCTGACAGTAACCTGGAATTAAAAAAAAAATCTCATAACGTTCAGACAAACGCTCATGCAATATACCCGAAAACGCATGAATCTAACGACAAATGACAAAGTTGATTGAATTTAATGGAAGCCCTATTGTCTTTGGTCACAGTCAGGATGTTCCTTAATCGCGTTATTGAAATTGTAAAACAATACTAGTGCAAGCAGCTTTGGCAATGTTTAACTTCTATAAGTTAATTATTTTATTTTATTTTATTTCGAAACATAACGGACTATACGTCAATTATACAGTTAAATTTGAATCGCATCAACAATGTAGCTCACAATTAATTCGTTACAAAGCATTGAACAATCTGTGATACCGTTCATCAATTTATATAAAAATTTCAAGTCACAAGAGACTCTATTGTTAAAATGCATACTTTTGATTTTGCTTTTGTAGTTATTTGATTTAAAGATAAATAACTCAATATTAACGATTAATAATTTAAAAATAAATTAACCAAGGATCATGTTATAAAAAGTGCTATAACCAAAATTAAAACCACATTTAAAAACCTAACGAACTATTAGGAACCACAGTTGTTCAGATCCAGTGAAATTATATGACCTTCAAGACGTAGGTGTTGCTGGGAATTAGTTAAAGGAACCATCAAATGCTAGAACTCGGAAGTACTATTGGGCTTCGAAAAAGATCGGGTACCAGAGGTACTGGTGTAATAATAATCGCCGAATACAACAGGTACCAATTTGTTAATTAACACTTAGAGAAAAGTGCCCTTAATATGCAGATAGGATTTCCCAAAATTTTATAACATTTTCCGGTAGTATTATTTAAGAAATAAATAGAAATTTTGTTGATAATTCAATGAATTGTTTTAAGAGAAAAAGTGTACTTATTTTGATGATAATTCCAAACGAAAAGATATTTGATTTATATTCAGTTTCCTTTTACTTACCAACATGTTTGTTCCACCTGGCATAAGCCAGAAGCACCTTCTTCAAGATTGCTTGTTTTTCCTGGCCGTTTTCTCCACAAAATAAACTGCATCCTGTCCTATGTAAATCCTTGACGATTTGAACGTCAAGTTCTGTGTCAGCAGGATTCGCCCATTCGCTGAAACATTCCGCCTCGACTTTATTCCAGTTTACGTTTCGCGACGACAAATACTTTTCCGATAAGTTTATCCACAATTTTTTACGGAATTCGGCGGGAATGCCTTCCGGAAGTTGCACAACCATTTTCATAGCAGTTTTCCATTGGGAAAAGCCCGATTCTCCATGCGCCGGATCGATAGAAAATCGCAAGTTCGATTTTTCATGAGCATCTGAAACAAACATAAACATCCTTACAAGACCCATCGTGCAGTAAAATAGGTACGTGACACAAAGTTGGTTCTGTAGTCTCTTTTAAATACTTTTGGTATGCATTTACTTGCTTGCTTTCGATACCTGGGAAGTCAGACAAAAAGAAATCACGGTAAAGGTTTAGATGATGGCCCCCACCCCCTAAGGGGGTAGTAGTGGGTGGGATCGAAAGAGGAGGTCTCCCCCACCACTATACCATAAAAAGTTCGTGGCGGTCTCACCCCCATAAAAATTTATGGGGGTTAGATGATGGCCCCCGCCCCGAAGGAGATGGGTGTAGGCGGGATCGAAAGAGGGTGGTCACCTGAGTAAAACCCCATAAAATTTTTGCGGCGGTCTCACCCCCATAAAAAGTTATGGGGGTTGAAATTTGATTATTTTGACAATTTTCATACACTATAGTTCAAATAAAATTCAATAAAATAATTATTTGCAAGCGGGTGGAAGTCGGGGATCGAAAGAGGGTGGTCACTTGAACAAAACCCGATAACCTAACCTAACCTAACCTAACCTACCCTATTGATAAAGATATTTAAATGTTTTATATAATTTTCTCAATATTTTTATGTATTTTTCATTAGTTTTACCTTTGAATATTGTTTAAGAATGACTATATAAATATTTACATAGCTAGAAATGTAACAAAATTGGCATATTTATTAACTTTGAACCCCCATAACTTTTTATGGGGATGAGACCGCCACCAACTTTTTATGGTACAGTGGTGGGGGAGACCTCCCTTTCGATCCCCCCTTCAGGGTTGGGGGCCATCATCTAGACCTTTACCGACCTATCAAATTGCATTTGGCTCCTACCCAGTGTAACGTCTATATCCTAACTAACATTATAAATGCTTATGTGAGTTTGTTTGTTTGTTTGCCTGCTTATTACCATTTCACGCCATAATTACTCAACCAATCATCAAGAAATTTTGTATGCACATTGCCAGTGGTACAGAAAAGGATATAGGGTACCTTTTTTCCAGAAAGGGCACTGTTCGCTGCGGATAGAAAAATTAGTTTTATGTGGTCGTTAATGATCTTTGACACTTATTTAAGGCATCAACGCGACCGAAGCCGCGGGTAAATCCTGGTATGTAATAAACCGAAGGTATTACGAAGTAAAATTGTTTTATTATTAATATGATAAACACGCTAACGTTTCGTTTTATGGTTCTTAATGGTTTATCAAGGTACTTATCCAGCCAGTATTAAAATTGACTTTGGTTAAAGGTTCATTTGTTGTAAGGGAAACTATTTTTAAAATTACAAAAAAGATGTGAATATAACGTATCTAACAATAATGTATATAAGTCAGTATAAATTTATTAATACACCCACAATAAATAACTGAAAGATACGCCACACATCAACTACGCTCGACTAATTATCTATTACCAAAAACAAGGAAGATAAGAGGTTTATAACCCCCATATACATTCCAATTAAAACACACCACAGCGATCTACTTATCCCAGCTATCAAGCACATTGAACTTCACTGATTAAGGTTGATGTTGATGCTGTCATCCTTTGTAGTATAATATTCGGTCTTGAGATGTTTCGTCTAATATTTATAAAAAAGTTAATCATACCCATAATCACACCCAAATGCAAGAAAACATACTTTCATGAAACAGAAATAATATTACTTTCTTAATATAGTTATGTCGTTATAGAAGTCACTTCTATTTTCGCGAACGGTTAATTTAGAAATTTGAAGAAGATTGTTAAAGGTGTATGTTTAGAGCACGGCGTTGTACGGGTGCGAAACATGGACAGTGGGAGCGGCGGAAAAGAAAAGGTTAGAAGCCTTCGAAATGTGGTGTTATGTGATGAGGATATCGTTGGTAGAAAAGATTAGAAATGAAGAGGTATTAGAAAGAACAGGAGAACAGAGGACTCTATGGAAGTCAATAAGAAATAGGCGAGATAGGTTGGTAGGACATCTTCTCAGGCATGAAGGTCTAGTCAGAGACATATTAGAGGCAGAAACAGGAGTTAGGAGGGGTAGAGGTAGACCTAGGTTAGATTACTGTTCACAAATAGTTAAGGAGTTCCACTTTTAGGGAAATGCGAAGATTAGCTCAGAATAGGAAAGTGTGGAGGTGCGTGTCCAACTAGTCTTAGGACTGAGGACCTTATGATGATGATGATGATAGTTATGTATATCTACAAGAATTATTTGTTTAAAATACTTTGTTTTATGTATCAGGATTTTAAAAATAGAGATATTTGAAAATATTTACATAATAATTAATTGATAACTATTGGTTACAATTATAGGGCCAATTGTTTTAAAAACTTTTTTTATTTGAAACTAAACTCAGAAGTTGCATAAGTATAAGTGTCACCTCACTTACCGATTAACTTATAAGATGTAAGTCAAAAAGCAACTGATATCGTTTGCCCATGACTTCATTATCAGTGGCGTAATTAGGACCCCAAGCTACTGGTTGTGGAAACCAAGGTGCAGATTCAAATTTAATTTCAAGTCAGAACCTACCTCTGAAACAGCATGCATTGTCGTTCGTGTCTTTCCTGACCCACATTAACCCGTCCGTATTTGCCATTAATTTTTAAATCGAAATCGCTTTTAGTACCCAATAATCTTCTAATTTTCGGTTTAGATTAGTCCTCTGTATATGAAGCTGTAGAAACGATGAATAATATCTAATGGGGCTTTTTCATAAAAAAAAGTCACACAGTATCGACACAGTATTGTGCCATAAAATATAGCGATTTAAAACGGTAATACCAACAAAACTTAGTAGTTTGTATTTGCCTAATTTGTATTATAGTATTCATATTTTACCATTGTCCATGTTCGAGAAGTATATCATTCATAATTTACCTATGAAACTTATGTCCCATTTATAAAATTTAGCATTTACAATACTAGTGTCATGCGCTGAGACTTTCTAAATGGAAAACCCTAAATATTTCAATTCCGAAAACCCAAAAATACTTTATACCTACATATACGTACCAAATAACTAATATAAAAATAGAAGATGAAAAATTAGTCGCTGATTTTTGATATCTAGGAAATCATATTACTCAGGACGAAAGTGCGGTACAGATATAAAATAAAAAGATATCACTTCTATACTTCCGAATGGTTAATTTAGAAATTCGATAAAATGATTGTTAAAGGTGTATTTTTGGAGCATGGCTCTGTATGAGTACGAATTGTAGCGAGTGAGCGTAGCGAAAGAAAAAGGTTAAAACCGTTTGAGATGTGCAGTCATAAGTGGATGATGAAAATACCGTGTTTAAGATAGGTTAGGAGTAAGGACAAATTGGAAAACCAAGGACGCTATAGAAGTCGATAAAAAACAGAAGAGATAGGATGGCAGAGCACCTTCTGAGACATAATGGGTCAGGGTCAGATGGAGGTATAGGTATTAGAAAAAGCGACATATAAGATTAGGAACAAGAAAGGAACAACTGCTCTGTATTGGGGTAGTCTGCATTTCATCGATCGCTCGGTAACCACTCGCTTTTCCTGTACTGTTTCCATCTTGTACTCGGTATTTCTTATTACTTTCGCTCTCACAGTCGCTTCTTTTCTATCTCTAACGTTTACATTACGTCATTTATAAGATTTATATGCACCTACGCATAATGCATATAGTTATTGCAGATATATCCTCACACAGTTTACTACTTAAGAAGTAGTTAAATTATCCAAATCAATAGAAGAAGGAAAAAGAGTATAGAGGAGTAAATGTAGATCTCGATTAGATTACTGTTCACAAATAATTAGGTATGTGAGATGTTCTTTCTAGCTTTAGAAAAAAACGAAGGTTAGTTCAGGATATATGAAAGAGTAAAGATGTGCGTTTAATCAATCTTTAGATTAACGATCCTATGATTATAATGATTCGAATTTTTGCATAATCACTTTTTCACCAATTGGTCGACTTTAGTCTAGGAAGTCAGATAAGTCAGGACGGAAGGAGTAGTAGGGATATAAAGCAGAGGATAGCGCAGGGTCGTGTCGCCTTTAATAAAAAAGTCACTTCCATGCTCACGAACGGTTAATTTAGAAGTTCGAAAAAGGTTGTTGAAGGTGTATGTTTGGAGCACGGCACTGTACGGGTGCGAAACATTGACAGTAGGCGCGGCGGAAAAGAGAAGGTTAGAAGCGTTCGAAAGGCTTAGTTACAGGCGAATTATGAGGATACCGTGGATAGAGAAGGTTAGGAATGAAGAGGTATTAGAAGGAATAGGAGAACAGAGGACTCTATGGAAGTCAATAAGAAATAGGTGAGATAGGTTGGAAGGACACCTCTCAAACATGAAGGTCTAGTCGGAGACATATTAGAGGCAGAACCAGGAGTTAAGAGGAGTAGAGGTAGACGTAGATTAGATTACTATTCGGAAATAGTTACGTATGTGTGTTGTTCTAGTTTTGAGGAAATGCGAAGATTAGCTCGGTATAGGAAAGATTGGGGTGCGTATCCAACCAGTCATAGGACTGACGACCTTATGATAATGATGATGATGAATGAAAATTAGAATCTGAAGTGTCAATTACTGTAAATGTTGTACTGTTATGTTCTATATAATTTGCTGATTTGTCTTCGTTCTGTTAAATACTGCGTATTTTATGCTTCTGTAGTGTCATAATTATGACCTTTAATAAAAATTAAGACGCCGGGAAATGTAGCCTTATTTCGGAGACGAAACGATCTACATTTTATGAGAATATAAAACGACATTAACTCGTTTTTATTAAATATTAGATATTTCGTAGTTTATTGGGGAATTTAATATCATCCCGTAAAACAAAAGTAACTGCTAATAGTTCCGAATTGAACAGTTGATGTCTTTTCGAGTCGTGGATCGTCGAGAGTTTATATTTAACAAAGGACACTTTTCACTTTTACAGCATTTACATCGCAGCAAGTCGTCCAATGCAGAAAGATAGATAAAAAAGAAAAAAGTATAACACCAAAGTTTATTGCCCTATCAGATTAATGACCGTATAGCGCTTT